TGAACTGCTTTAACTGCTCAGGCTCTATACTGCTGCCTGAACAGGCCAGCTGAAGACAGAAATTTTAGATGACAATAAGACTATGACGGATTTAGGCAGAACCAAGGACCACCCAGTATTAAATAAGTACAGACATCCATTCCAATAGACACATCGTCCGTTGAAATGGACGCATGTCGGATTAGGATAATCGCACTGACTTTTAGAAGTGAGAATGAGGCTGGGAGATGCATGTGAGGCATGGATGGTCACACTGCCATACAGTACAGTACTTTCCCGCAGCAACCACCATATGGCACATAGCACACACTGGGTAACGTGCTGCTGGCAGGCACACGGCCATCTGAAATTTATTTTTACTTTCTTTTAATTAAAAAACTTCTGTCGTAAGCGCGAGTTGTCTTAACTAACATAGGTAGTTGATCAGGGACAATCTGTAAAGATAAATGCCAAGTGGTGGAAAATGAAGTCAGTGGTATCTCCTAACTGGTCATGGTGTGTGTGCATTCCCTGCGATGGACTGGAATCCTGTCCACATAAAACAACCCGAACTGGGGTTATCCAGGACAGCGCCCCCTTGTGGCATAAAACAGGATTGCAGTATACTAAAAGGAGTCCACTGCACTGAGATGTCCTCTCCTGCCATGTGAAAGTGGCAGCGCGGCGTGGCCCGGCGTCCACTAACCAGGGAGTTCGCAGCGCAGGGTGCCGGTGGCTCTCGCCACCTCCTCCAGGGTGGGGAGCTCGAAGGGCTCCTCCGCGTCGTGCACCTCCTGGGAGGCCTCGACACACGGCGTGGGGGCCGGAGCTGTGGAAGCAGAGGTCCGGCAGTGAGGCAGTGCATGACTCTGGCCCCGGGCGTTTGGCTGCACTGATTAACGCAAGCTGACAAACGGTAAGTGCCCCTGTGGAATAGCACACACAGAGTCAGCCCCCACACACACACGCACACACAATTCACATCGGCGTGACTAAATGAACAGCCGCTTTCAGCGAACCAGTGTGGCTCCAGTTACAGTGAACGAGGTCAAGAGCAATTAGCACGGCTCGGGTTCCAGGTATCGCGTGACGCTCCGTCCCGGCGCTGGGCCCGGGCCACACGTGCTGGCCTGGGTCTGCTGGAGTGGCCTCACCTTGCCCGCGGCAGTCCTGGGCCCAGTGACCGATTCCTCCACACCGGAAGCAGCTGTCCCCTTGCCGGCTGAACCCAGTAAATCTTCCGCGTCCTCTGCCCGCCCCCCCTCCGAAGTGCTCCCCCTTCAGCTGGAATTTCTGCATGTACATCTGGGACAAAAACACATTCTATGAGCGAAATCTGCAGGGGCAGGTTGAACTACACTCTGCTACACCAGGGGGCAGAGTGCTTAAGGACAAAACCCAAATTCCAGCCATTAACGCTGGTCGGATTTGTTGAAGGGCGTAGAGCTTATCTTGGGTGACGAAGGGCACATGGCTGGGCTACACTGTACACTGTGGACAGGATCACAGGGCACACACAGTCATCCACTAAAGGCAGTTTTAGAGACATACACAGCAGAACAGGAATTCAAACCTTCCACCTTGAAGGAGAAGTGACAGTGCTACCCACTGAGCCACTGTACCGCCCCCCAAATCAAACTGCTCACTAAAGTATCTAGCTATAAAATTTAATTCTAATTGGTTTCTATCTACAAATAGAGACCAGTAACAAAAACACTGCTGACGGTAATAAAAACCAATTCAATGCCACAAATTTCAACAAGAAAGTAATATAAAACTAGCAACAAATAATTCAAATCTAAGTTAGTTACAGATAAACTGTGTGTATCACTCTCCCCAGTCTTCATGCACGCATTCACGTGCACGTTTAAGACCCCCCTGGAGTCATAAACATTGACTGACCTGCTTGCGAAGGGCGGCCCCCCTCAGAGCGAAGCCTTTCACGTGAGACTTTTTCTTCAAGTTAATTTTCACGAAGTTGCCGTCTGTATTCTTGTTGGTCCTAAAAAGAAAAAAAAACAGTCACAGATTGCACCATCGCATGGCATAACACGACCTCACAGCCATGGTCGTTTGCACCCGAGTCCTACCGCGTTTTCACTGGCTTCTTCAGCTGAGATGAACCTCTGCGGAAGTCCTCCTCATCCACTTCCCCCAGCAGGTTCTCCTGGGGCATCCTAAGCTTCTGCTTGACCTTTTCTTGCCCGGCAGGACCATCCTGGTCACCATTTTCATCCTCTGTCTCCTTGGCCTTTTTCCTCTTAGCGCGAGGTGCACTCGAACCCTCTGCAGACCCCTTCCGAGTGCGCCTCCTTTTTATATCAGTACCCTCTGCCTCCCCAACACCCTCTCGCTTGTCTGCTTCACCTTCAGGCTCCCTCTGCCTCTTCCTTCTCCTCATCTTCACCCCCTCCTTCTCTGACCTCACCTCTGACCCTCTTCCTTGGGAAGAATCGCCCATAGTGACTTCTCCCGCCCCAGAATTTCTGGCCCTCAAACGGGAATCTTTTGCACCACTGACAGGAGTGATGTTCTGGCCGCTGCATGCCTCGCCTCCAGGGCCCCGTCTGCTTTCCCCATCGCCCTCCCCGACTCTGGCCTTTAATGGGTAACCGCACAAGCTGGCCTCGGATTGCGCCTTTCCTGCCGGAGACATTACGTGACCGACCTGCAACTTGTCCCTCTGAGGCGGTGGCTCTCGCACGGTCCTGGACACGGGCTCTTGTGGGGGAGTCGAGTCATCCCGTGGCACCGGGGCGACCTGGGGGCTGGCGGCCGGCGTGTTTTCGCTGGCGCCGTCCGACACCGTCATTCCCGCCCTTGGCGTGGAACACAGATTACCCGTAGCTGGCTTCTCCTCATCCGCCACTTCATCGAACACCTGACATCGCTTCAGCCAGCCACTGTCCACGGAAGACAGCCGCTCTGTGATGGAGCGCCGCAGCCGCTGCGCCCGCTCTGCCAGCGCGTTTGGTGTGCCCGCCTTAGGCTGGCAGTCGCCGGATGGCGCGAAGGCTGGTAGCGTTTCAAACGGCGCCTCATCAGCCACGGGGCTCGGGGCCCGGGGGTTTGGAAGGAGAACTGGAGGCCCGAGGGAGGGGGCCCCAGCGTCTGCGGCAGCACTTGGGTAAGGGCCGTCTTTCCATGACTTCACGGGCTCTCTCCGTGGAGTAAAGGACTTCTTCAAGGAGACGCTTCTCTCCTGTAAATTCAAATCATGTCCAAATGATGCCCAAAATGGCTGAGGTTTAATTTTTTTTTTACAATCCCAAGGGCTGCTGATTCTTAAAAACAAAACAAAACACAGGACACTGGAGGTGTTTTATAGTAGCTAAATGTCCCCGAAGAGAGCCGTACATCTCACACCAGACAGTACGCAGCAGGAGCTGACATAGGCTGGGAAAAAACAAGAAAGTCAGCTAACAGACATGACTGTGAAAAGGTTGTCTAACTACAACACTGCCTGCCTACTGAGGTCATTTTCCCCAAGGGACAAAACGTAGAAATACCAATAACCAGATGGTTTATCCATATATTGACAGGAAAAACACATTTTCTTAACGAACCTTTATGGAATCCCCCAAATTGGCCTTCAGTTTCATCCCGAAGTATTGGGCAGAGGTCTGGAGCGACTCCCGGTCCTTAGAGGTCAGTTTCGGCGTATCCATTGGCTTGTTCTTACGGTTCAGGTGAGAACCCCAAGAGCCAGAATCCTGCAAAGAAAGATTTAGATCAGGACGAAGGAGTTCACTCAAATTACGCAAGTTGTTTTTCAATATAACGGTGTACACCTTTAAATGCCTGTCAGTCTCAAGGCTAGATTTTCACAGGCACAGAATGCAACAGCACTGGGTTATCTACAGTGCTGCCATATCACAGACTGGCTGTTCCCTGTCAGTCACCTTCTCAGGAGCCTGATCCCGCATTCTGTCCAGAGAGGGGTCATGTCCAGCAGCCTCTCTCTCCTCTTTGAGCCTTCTGTACTCTTTGTAGAGTCCTGCAGGCAAAGCTTTAAGTGTCACTAATATAATGCCAGGGAACCACCCATAAAAAAGATGGTGGAAGACCATGATCCTCATACAATTAACATACATAAACACAAATTTACTTACTTTTTGTCTCATCTGGGGCACTGTCTATGTCATCCTGCCAGAAAGAACACCCATTGAGAAAAGATGCAAATAAACAATGTAGATGATTAGATTCGACAGGATTCATAGATAGATGGACGGATGGATGGATGCTTTATTGATCCCGAAGGAAATCTAGACATCGGGTAGCTCAAATAAACAAAAAAACACACAATAATAGAATAACACTTAAGGATTGTAAAAGTACAGAGTGCGTCTATGGATGCCAACCATTACGTAATATTATTATGCAGCACACAACCGCTTCTAAAAGGTGCATAAGGTCCAGATGTTACCGTAATGTAAACAGCCCATGAGCTGCTCTGTCACGGTGGTGGCAGGGTCCATTATGCCGTATGAGCCCCTCACCTTGTTCGGTTTCCTTTGGTTTTCACGGAGGAATGACTGCTCCCAGCCTTTCAGCAGCACCTTGACATCGTTGTACCTGTCCATTTTCTCCGGAATTACAGTCGCAAACACTACAAACTACTGACACAGTAATGCGGCATTTTTATGTTCACCAGCACGACTATAAGTGGTAAAATCGTCTGTTTTGTTGAGAAGATAGCAGTCAAGGCAAAAGCAAAACCACCCGGTATGTACAGTACACACTGGCTTACACGGAGGCGACAGATTTTTTAAAGAAAATGCTGGTAGTTTAGCTGGTGTATAATTTAAATATACAGTTCGTATTTAAATATAGTGATAAATAGTAAAAATTACCAAATGATATGCCATACTTTTTACTTTACCTACAATAGGAAGCATACGTCCTTTAAAATTTTAGCGCGCGCCGATCGCGAACTACAAAAACCGCCCAATCAGAGCAGGAGGGAGGAGCGGTCATAAAGAAAAAAACTCTTTTTCCCAGAATACACTCTGGCCGGAAACCCTGCCTCAAAGTCATACTGTCATTGGACGAAGATGGTGTCAATCTCAACACGTGGAACAGCGTTTATCCTTCTCGTTGCTTTCTGAGCAGACATGTGAGTATCCACAGTTAAGCCAGTATAATACTTATATGACAAATGGGTATGTGTTTTGTATACAAAATGCGTTTAAATAATTTAATGTTACAATCATGAGAATATGAACAGTTTAATTCGAACTGGCATGTGTATGATGATTGAAACGTGTAACACATAACTGCTGAGTTTTAGCCATAGATTGTTACTGTCACCGAACACGTCGGAGAAGGGATACAAGTTATAATCTGCTTTAGAATTCATGACAGAATTATATTATGACGGTGTGGGGTAGCTCAGTTTATAATGAGTGATAGTGACCAATTGCGATATTTATGACTTTTTAAAAATACGTTTAGAAGTGTTCCGGGCAATTCGGTTTCTCTATGTTTCCCCTAATAATATAGTCTTATAAGCAATACTATACCGTTTTCATCAAGAAATATCTCTATCCAGCGAATTAAATACTTTCATGTATTATCTGTAAAAACAAAAAACATCGAAAAGGCATGTAATGTTTTAAAATATATGGCTTGTTTACCTCAAGAGATTCGTAAAAAGACATGAAAACAACAGCGAAACCGTGTACAAATCAGCGCGCGACAGGGGAAACATAGGGAAACTGAATTGCCCGGAACACCTGGATTGCGGTAGTAATTGTCATTTGGCTTCTAACTAATTTTGCTTTCTCTTGGCAGGTGATCAGTAATTTATGAACAATCAAATCGTAAATAAATAAAACCAACTTAAGATGCTGAGTGACAGAGAAGCTAAAGAATTGCTAAATTTCCTAACTTTGGAAACAAGGCCGGATGTAAAGGGTCAGGCCACAGAGTACATTCTTGGTCTCACTGGCACCAAAGACGGCTGCAGATATCTACGGGGCAAACCAGATTTCCTCAAAGCTCTGCTCACTCTCACCAGCGACTCCTCTGTGGCTATCGTCAAAGACTGCTACCATGCCCTGATAAACCTATCTGCGGATGAAACGCTACACAGAGCCCTAGTACAGGATGCCAATATCCTGCCTGTCTTGTTTTCCAATCTCCTGGACCCTACATACATGTTTGCAGACCGAATCTGCACCATTCTGACCAACCTCACACGACACGAAAAGACCTGCAAGGACGTCTTCAAGGTTTTTCAAGAAGAGCACATAGGTCTGGCTAAAATAGTTGAGATCCTGTGCACAGAAGATTATAATAAAAAGGCTTCCCTCCACTACCTGGGCCCTCTCCTGTCAAACCTCACACAGCTGCCAGATGCCAGGCAGTTTATCCTTGACAAGGAAAGGTAATTCCTGGCCTAAATAATTCTGGAAACGATCATTGAAAGTAAGAGTGAATCTGGTGTTGAGTGACAGGGTGATCTGTGTCTCTTTGTTGTGCTTCAGGTGTGTGGTTCAGCGACTCCTGCCCTACACGCAGTATGAAGCGTCAACGGTCAAACGGGGTGGAGTCATTGGAACTTTAAGAAACTGCTGCTTTGACCACGGTTAGTGGGTGTAAATAGGTAGTGGCATTATCATGACCATGCAGTGATGGAGTAGGAAACATGAGATCTCAGTTAAAACCTAAGGATTTTTTTTTTTCCCGCTACCACCTGTAGAAGGACTGCTAATTCAGGTAGAATGCGGAGACTTTGAGTCCATGAACAGGTTTTCTGTGAAGGATCAGCATGTGTTAATGAAACTTCCTCTTATAGCCTATCATGAGTGGATGCTCAGTGACGCCGTGGACATCCTGCCGTTCCTGCTGCTGCCGCTGGCAGGGCCGGAGGAGCTGACGGAGGAGGAGAATGAAGGTGTAGCATGCGTGAACCTGAACTTTCCACCGTGGTCTCAACCATCAGAAGCTATAGCTCTCTGTAGTGGAGACCATAAGTCCCCCTTGGTACTGTAAGGCTGTGCAGTAGAGGGCAGTGTGTGTTTATGTAGTGCTGCTGGGGGTTAGTAGACTGTCAGTAAAGCAGAGGTGGATAGTTCAGGTCCTGAAAGTGAAAATCCGGACCAAGATTTTGTTTCAACCAACCAGTTCAGTACTCTGTGACTGACTCTTTATGCTCAACTGGTTGGTTGAAACAAAATCTTGGTCTGGGATTTTTTACTGGCCCTGAAATATCCACCTCTGCTGTAAAAACTAAAGTGTGTGTTGGGGGGGGGGGGGGCTGTGAATGTATGTTGCAGTTATTACAGGAGACTTGTGTAAACTGCATAGGTGTTAAACAGCTGGTTCTTGAAATGAATACACAATCACAGGTTTCGAGGCCTAGGTAAATTTTAAATGGCAGATGCTATTTAAAGAGATGAGGATTTAATTTCTTCAGTGATATTAGTCTAGCTTTAGCATTAAAGATACAAAAGAGTTTGTTGTATGTTTTGGTTGGATTAGACTTCATTTGAAATTATTTGTTAGGATTGCCTGTGGATTTGCAGTATCTTCCTGAAGATAAAAAGAGAGAGGAGGACCCGGATATTCGTAAAATGCTCATCGAAACACTTCTCCTGGTAAGTGAATTTTTACCCCTTAAATCAGGTATCTTTGATTTGGTAGGAGCCTGCATGTCTAGCCGGCATCGTGTGAGTGTACAGGCTGGAGTCTCTTCCTAAACCTGCGCTATTGGCTCCTGTTTCGGAGATTTCCAGTGTCGTTTCCACTCCCCCCCCCCAGTTAACAGCTACCAAGGCGGGTCGTCAGATTTTGAAGAGCAAGAACGTGTACCCCATCATGAGGGAGTTTCACAAATGGGAAAAGGAGCCGTCTGTCATCTCCGCCTGTGAAAAACTGGTGCAGGTAAAACAGGGATCCCGAGATCCGGAAAGTTCTCCATGTTCCACCTTGATTTACTGTAGCGTGGTAACGACTGCATGAATCATACTGAAAGAGTAACAAAGCCAAAGTAGGAATTTTCCAAAGTGGTTTAGTCAGACATGGGCCGGTTATTTATGGGTTAATTATGTCTGTTGTTCTTCTTAGTAAGTGAACAGATCTTCAAGTAAATTGAATCCAGTTTTTCTACAGAAATCAATGGCTTTGATTCCCTAATTGGCTGGAAAAACTTAAGTCCCCTCTGCAGTGTGGTGGCAGTCTAGCGGGATCTGCTCCATGGAAAAGATGTCACACTGTCTTGCATTAAATCTTGATATATTTCATGACTGCAAGCGACTGTATCATCATGCAGAGCTCTTCATTAATTTTCATTCCTCCAACCATTTTATTTGGTTTTATGAGACAAGTTACTTTATAGAGTGAGTGTTTTTATGCTTGTGCCAGAGAGCTAATTTGGTTTTATTGCACATATATTCTATGGTAATATATATGTAGGGTAGTACCTTATTCTTTGCTTGAAGTTAAATGTATTTCTTTATGGAAAATTTATTTAATATAGCTTTCCTGGTATTATTTGGTCTTCATTATTGACTGTTGTGCTCCTGTTGTGAACACACACTATTGTGGCTGTTGGCTTTTGGGTCTTGATGGTTAGCATGGGGACCAATACATCATGCACCCAGGAATAAGCAGTACGTTATACGTTCTGTGCATTCCTGTCTCAGGTCCTGATTGGGGATGAACCAGAACCTGGAATGGAGAACCTGATGGAGGTGGAGATTCCCGAAGATGTTGAGGTCAAGCTGCAAGACCTGGACGTGAAGGAGCAGGAGCAGATTGAGAAAGAGCAGGAGGAATTGATAAGGGCTGCGACTGAGGAGAACTCTGCTCGTGAAGAGAGTTAGCGTGAAACAGGACAGAACTGCATGGAAGCTGGTGCTTGTTGATGAATTGTGTATACACTACACCACAAAGAGATGTAAAGCCAGCAAATACAGTTTTCTAATGATTAAAATATATTTTATACTGTAGTTAATTTTTTTATGCATTTAGTGTTTGGACCATAGCCTGGTCAAGGTTAAAGTTTCTAGAAACCTAAGAATACTGTCCATAGTCAATGTAAAAGACAGGTAATTGGCAATTGACAAGATGGGCTGTGAAGTTACTTACTATTAAACTTTTGGATAGTAAGACACTATTACACAAGGTTGGGTTAGGAGTGGCAAGTCAGCAGTATTCCCGAAAGGACACGCTAATGGCAAAGACTTTAATAGCCACCTAAGAGGGAAGCGAATGCAGACATTAGCCCCACATTCTGGCTGATTTTGCAAGATGAGCACAAAAGCTGCTCGTATGTGGAGTTCTGAAAGAATCTGAAATAGGGTTCTGGGCACCTACAGAAAGTTCTGTCTGTGATACGCGAAAATCAGATTCCCTGTTGTCACAGACTTTGAATTTCAAAGTACGTCCTGAATTTCACGACTTGAATCCGTATAAATATTTAACCGTGGACTAGAGCAAGAAAAAAAAAAATCAAAAGTCGGAGCTGAAATTCAATTTGTCAGATGTACGCTTTTTCCATATTTGATCATCACAGAGCGAACTCTTATTAGTACTTTACCACGTTGTGATTCTTGCTTCTGAGGTCTGTGGCTGACTTATAATCCTGGCAGATCTTCTTTGGAAAAAGCACCTGTTTCCGATTCCTTGGCAGGACAGCGATGGCCGTCCTCTCATCTATTCATCCGCCTACTCACGGCGCTCTCGGCATTCCGAGGCCGTTCCTTCTGGCACGGTCTGCAATAAAACGATTCCGGAGATCAGAATTAACCCGGAGCTTTGCTTTTTTGTGGCTACACTTTGTTTTATAGTTATTTTTAATGATTTTATTGTGATTGACGAGAGAGTGTTTTATTGCAGTTTTATAGCTCGCTTTTAGCTCATTGTTTCTGAAGTATTTGAGATTTTTTACGCCGACACGATGCCATAAACACGTACTATAACTGAAATTTTGGAAAGATTCTTCCGTAAAGCTGTTTTTACAATAAATACATAAAGAAGGTCATCGTGGATTTTGAGGCAAATTTATTACTGACAGTCCTGCCTCAGCAACTCGGAATTGAAATGATTTCATCTGAACTATGGCGTAACTTTTTGCGATGTGGCAGTGGACTAGTTTATATTGTTGGATGGCACTTTTAAGAACTAGCCCTGGGTGGCTGGAATATTTGGATTAAATGTCACGATGATGGATGATGAAGGTCTGCTGATTATGAAAAATGATAGCTCCGTGACTCCGTCCTTGTTCAGAGCAGAACGGTGCTGGACAGCCATGCTTGCGTTCGGTAACCTTTTGGGCCTCCTTGAGTAGTCCGATGAGGAAAAATGGTGGTTTCAAGTTTTTAGAATTGAGATTTAGCCATTGTGAACCTGTGTCCCTCGTTGAGAGTCAAATGGGTCCATTGCATGTAACTGACTCATGCTACATCACGCTATGAAACGTAGCGTAACTGAAACATCCATCAGGTTACTGCAGAATTGCCTTTCGGTAAATCTGTGACTCGCTCAGCGGCGTCTGCGTGGACCGAAGGCCTCCTTCCTCTGGAATTCCTCCTGACGTTAATGTGTCGTGAAGGCCAGGGTCATCAGAACAACCGGCTCACCTCTCTCGGGCGAATCTGTGTCTGCGGCCTAATTAGGATCTGCTGGCGGTTGGGGGGCCATTGTGGGGGGGGTTAAGCTCACAGCCAAGCCCCGGGGAACTTGCCTGGGATCTGTCTGACGTTTGGGTAGCTGTTGACTCAGCTGAGCTCCCTGAGCGCCACTGGTGCCGTGGGATTTACAGCAGCAGACCTCCACGTGTCCATCTGTACAAACTCCCGTCTCCTCTGAGAACAGACACATGTGTGCTTGTGTGTTATATATACACACATATGTGCATGTACTCATGTCTGCAGAAAGGCTGAGCTTGAAGCTGATTTCATACATAATACAAGGTTAAACTCAGAGCCAAACATACCATCTTAGGCTTCTCTTTGCTAGACTGTAGAAAGATATTGGTATGAAAAAGGTATTTTTTTTTTTTAGTTCTGCTTCAGCAAAGCTGTACAAAATATTGACTAAAAGGTTTCATCCATCACGTGGAACAGAGACAGGCAGGGGAATGAGCTGGTTTTGATAGGTGTCTGTGGAGAGCCTTAGTGAATGTATGCGGATTCGTTTCTAGGGTTTGAGGTGTTTCTCTGTTTTTTTCATAAAAGGATTCTACGAGTTGCCACTTCCGCAACGGCCATGAAACATCATCAATAACTTAGCTGTCATTTGTCTATTTGATTTAATGATAGCTGGTTAGTTGTTGGGGTGGCATGGTGGTGCACTGGTTAGTCGCCGGTACCTCTGGCACAAGGTCCTGGTTCTCTTACCGGATTCAGCATCTTCTCCCCGTGTCATTGTGGAGTTTCCCCCCACAGTCCAAAAATCTGTGCTACCACTCAACAGGGCTTCCCTTTCCCGCGTTTAAATGGTAGTAATTCATTAATAATAAAAAAAAATGTTGAAACTGTCTATTAATGACTTGATTATAAACCACAAACAGATCGTAAGGGTCGTCTTATTGTCAAGTGGTACCAAATATGCTAAGGTGATTTGGAGTGACCTAAGGTGATTTGGAGTGACCTAATTGTCTGTCGATGTACATAGTGTGGGTGCCTGGCCAGTATGGAAACCGAATGGTTTGTAGCCCTTGCTTTTAGAAATGTAGGTTGTGATATGTGAGATTCTGAAGAGGCATCCACATGTTTGTCACCGTTTAATGTCCAGCTTTTCTCACTTTGCTTCTGAGTAATGTTTTCTGCCGTCGTATCGCTAATCTCGAGACTAGCGGGGAGAGATGCTCGGCAGCTTCCGCACGCAGTGTCCACGGAAATCAATCCCTTGGCCTGACGGATTGTTCCAGAGCGGGCCGTGGTACTCTGTGCCAGCATGGATTGCTTACAGTACATTTTATACCTTTCATATAAATATAAAAGATGGAGAGATGGGGAGAGAAGTAAACAGATACGGTGTGCTGTCAAGAGCCTGGCTCAGTCGCACAGAACAATGGCTGGGCTTTTCCAGCATAATGATGCATTAAATGTAAGATGACTTATGCATGTGTGCAAAAAAAAAAAAGCGCGACACAAAATTTATACTCATATTTATACTGCATATTAAGGCTCGACTTTTTCATCTTTTAATATGACGGCAGAAATGAAAACATGCATACGATGCCTTCGCACACTGTCTTTGATTTTTTATCTCATTTTCCCTGAATGAGAATAGCTGGTATTTGGGAAGAGTTTATGTACTGGATCATTTATAAAAAGAAACGTTGCAGAAAAATGGAAAAGAAAAGAAAAGAAAAAAACGTACCTTAAAAAGGCACATAAACTATTCATGGATAAAATGTTTGGCTCCCCCATGTGGGCAATATAAAAAACGCATCTTGGCATTTGAGGAGAAATTGTACCTGCTGTGTTGACTGTCTAAATAAATACTAAAATCTAATACAGAACCATATCCCAAATATTGGCCTAACACATTTTATATTACTGTACAGTGTATTCTTTAGGTGGGCACAGGATAGACATCATATACTGACTTGCATTTAGTGAATTTTACATGCAATTGACACCCCATCCAGGGTGGAGCCCCATCCTCGTGCCGTGAGCTTCCTTGAAGGGGCTCCTGTGTCCCAAGTGATTGCGACTAGGGTAAGCAATAAGCAATTAGAAGATGGATGAATGGGTGGGATTAATAGTTTTATTAACGTATTATGTTATGAGCATGGAGGCATTTTTATGAAGGAGCCGATTATTGCTGGATTTGGGCAATATCACCTGACAGCTCGCAACGCGGTTCGCTATGCGGCTCCGCACGTGCGGCTTTGTGAGCGCAGGTGGATCACCGGTGCCACTGTAACGCAGGGGGGTCCGGCCGGACGGGGAGTATTCATTCTGTTTTCCTTGGCACCGGGCAGAGACTGGAAATTGCGCCTCGGACCAGAGAGGCTGCCGTTTACTTTGGAGCCCCTCAAAGGAGACACTGTTGGGTTTTCACTAAATCTCCGTGCCTGCTTTCCTCAGCCAGCCCTTTGATGCTCACCAATAGATTTACTGGCATCGAAACCCGAATTGTCATAATGCTCTTTCGAGAAGAAACTACTGGGAGAAAATTAGGCCCCAATCCAGAGACTGATTAATGGGTCTAGGCTTGATTGCACCAACTACAAGTCGACCGGGGTGGTTATGGTGAGGAGAAGCTCTCCCCTGCATTACGGTGCCGTTAAACGATGACGGAAGATGGGGTACGACATCGAGGAATTTCCTGTTCCTTTTTAACATTGGAAGGTGTCTAATTTCTGCTACAAAAACACGAAACTGACTGGTGATCCTTCAGAGAAACATAAAAGGGGAAACATACCAGAGTCACAGCACGTGAACTTCGAGATGGCCGGCGGGACGGGAGTCCTCGTTAAGATGGGCGCAGCTTCCAGAGCAGATGACAGATGGTGAAGGTTTTACACTATGTGGCCAGTGAGGTGGCTTGAGGTAGTGAAAGACGGTCCAAGCAATGGCACCTGAAGCCAAAGAACATTGGAGGGTCTGGCCGGCGGGCCACAGACTGGGTGAGATCGAGGGCCTCCGAGTCGGGCTTCTTCCCGAGCCTGACTGTGCAGCCTCTTCTCTGCCACAGTCAGCCTGCCTCCCATGGCTACATTGGTCGTTCTTCCGTCGCAAGGAGAATGAGTCCTTCAAGCCAGGAAATGGGTTCATGGAGGGAATCGTACATCAGGGAGGCCTGGTGTAATCAGCGCCACATCAGACAGCTTGCAGAAAGGCTGCAGACGGGCCTGCATCTGGGGGCAGGATCCCCAGGCCAGGGGGGGAATCATCAACCTCATCATCATCTCCTTGCAGCTGTCAAGATGGCATCCATCACTTCGCAGGTCCGGAATGAGTAACATTTTCCGTCCCCACTTCACGTCAGGAAA